AAACTAGACCATTGCCTTACACCGCATACACAAATAGACTCAAAATGGTTGAAAGACCTAAATGTGAGACAGGAGTCCATCAAAATCCTAAAGGAGAACACAGGCAGCAACCTCTTCCACCTCAACCGCAGCAGCTTCTTCCTAGAAACATCACCAAAGGCAAGGGAAGCAAGGGCAAAAATGAACTATTGGGACTTCATCAAGATAAGAAACTTTTGCACAGCAAAGGAAACAGTCAACAAAACCAAAAGACAACTGACAGAGTGGGAGAAGATATTTGCAAAAGATATTTGCAGATAAAGGGCTAGTATCCAAAATCTATAAAGAACTTATCAAACTCATCACCCAATGAACAAGTGATCCAATCAAAACATGGGCAGAAGATATGAACAGATATTTTTGCAAAGAAGACATTCAAATGGCCAACAGACACATGAAACAATACTCAACATTGCTCAGCATCAGGGAAATTCAAATCAAAACCTCAATGAGATACCCCCTCACACCAGTCAGAATGGCTAAAATTAACAAGTCAGGAAATGACCGATGTTGGTGAGGATGTGAAGAAAGGGGAACCCTCCTACACTGTTGGTGGGAATGCAAGCTGGTGCAGCCACTCTGGAAAATAGTACAGAGGTTCCTCAAAACGTTGAAAATAGATCTACTGTAAAATCCAGCAATTGCACTACTGGGTATTTACCCCAAAGACACATATGTAGTGATCCAAAGGGGTACATGCACCCCAATGTTATAGCAGCGATGTCCACAATAGCCAAACTATGGAAAGAGTCAAGATGTCCATCAAGAGATGAATGTATAAAGAAGATGTGGTATATATACACAATTGAATATTATACAGCCATCAAAAAAAGAAATTTGCCATTTGCAACAATGTGGATGGAACTAGAGGGTATTATGCTAAGCGAAATAAGTCAGAGAAAGACACATATCATATAATTTCACTGATATGAGGAATTCTTTTTTTTAAAGATTATTTATTTATTTATTTGACAGAGAGATAGACAGAAGAGCACAAGCAGAGGGAGTGGCAGAGGGAGAGGGAGAAGCAGGCTCTGCACTGAGCAGGGAACCCGATGAGGGACTCGATCCCAGGACCCTGAGATCATGACCTGAGCCGAAGGCAGACGCTTAACCATCTGAGCCACCCAGGCGCCCTGATATGAGGAATTATTAATCTCAGGAAACAGGATTGCTAGAGTGGTGGGGGGAGGAGGGATGGGGTGGCTGGGGGGTGATAGACATTGGGGAGGGCATGTGCTAAGATGAGTGCTGTGAATTGTGTAAGACTGTTGAATCACAGACCTGTACCTCTGAAACAAATAATACATTATATATGTTAAAAAAAAAAAGAAGATAGTAGGAAAGGAAAAATGAAGGGGGTGGAAATCAGTGGGGGAGACAAACCATGAGAGACTATGGACTCTGAGAAACAAACTGAGGGTTCTAGAGGGGAGCGGGGTGGGGGGATGGGTTAGCCCAGTGATGGGTATTAAAGAGGGCACGTTCTGCATGGAGCACTGGGTGTTATGCACAAACAATGAATCATGGAACACTACATCAAAAACTAATGCTGTAATGTACGGTGATTAACATACCATAATAATAAAAAGAAAAAGGGAAAAGAAAGTAGATGCAGTGTCTTTCTAATGAAACACATTAACCCGATTACATTACCCATGAACTTTAAACTGTACTTAAACTGTTGAAAAGAAAAACAAAACTATAATTTTTCTCAGTTTAAGTATATCTCCTGGACCAAGAAACCAAACCAAACCAAACTGCAGTGATTTTATCCAGCCACTAGATGACCCTGAAGCTTGTGGATGCCCATAAAACTGGGGGTACTTGAGTTACTTTAGGGTAGAGGAGATTCTTGAAACAAACTGATTTTGTTTTTTTATTTCTTGAAATATAGTGTCAACTATATTATCATTAGTTTCAGGTGTACAACATAGTGTTTTGATAACTCAGTACCTTATGCTGGGCTCACAAGTGTAGCTCCCATCTGTCACCATACAGCGCTAGCACAGTATCGCTGACCATACTCCCTATGCTGTACCTTTCCTTCCTGTGACTTATCCATTCCATAAATGAAAACCTGTAACTCCCACTGCCCTTCACCCATTTTTCCCATCCCACTGCCCCCTCCCCTCTGCAATCATTAGTTTGTTCTCTGTATTGATGGGTCTGCTTCAAAGCAAACTAATTTTTAATATATGTAATTGGTCACTAGAAATTAGAGCTGTGCTTTAAATAATAAAATGACTACTTTACTGATACTATATTTAAAATATAAATTTATTTTAATGATACTATATTAAAATATAAATTTTTCTTATAGAATATCTTGAAACTATAAAGAAACATAAGAAAAGAAAAGTTATCTTTACTCCTATTACTCAGGGAAAATCATTGTGCTTACCTTTGTGGTTTTCTCTCTTCAAGCATATAGAAACAAAGCAAATGTATTTCTGTTCAATATTTAACAGGATAGAATCTTACTGGCTGTATTATTTTGCCTGGCTTAACAATAATAGTGTGCATATTTCCCCATACTCCTCAACATTCTTTTTTATTGTTATTTTTCATTGTCAGATTATTTCATCATGTAGTAGAATCATACTTATTTAACCAAATCTTTAATTTTGAACCATTAAGTGGTTTCCGATTTATCACTAGTAAAAATAGTTCTTTGATAAACATTTTTGTGGTTATGTCTTGAACATCAGAGATTATTCCTTTAAAGTCCTCCACCCCAAAAATTGTCACATCAAAAGAAACATGGAATCTTTTAGGGCTTTTGATGAGTATTTTAAAACCGTTTTCCAAAGGTCAAACTATACCAATTGATGTGATCATCCACAATCTTTCTGGTCATATATTTTCCAATATTTTCTCTAGAATTTTGTTAGCATTTTAATCTCAGTTGTGATCGATTTTCATGTGTTAAAATCTAGTCAAAATTATGAAAATTGAGAACAAGCATAGAAAGATAATTTCTATATCAATACTATATTAATACTAAAAGTTTTGAATCAATTCAATACTGACTATAGGACCTAACATTTCAGTACCATTCAATCATTTAAAAAATACTTTTAATTTTATTGAATCCCTATATTTATGTGAAATAAGCAGGTGAATTGTTATTACCCTTTTTAGAGGAGGGAATTGCAATTATGTTGCAAAAGCCAAATAAAACACAGATAACTGGTAGTTACCTTCAGTACATATTAACATAATTATCTGGGTGAATATAGCCTATAAATTCAACATTTTAAAAATTAGCTAAAAGCTTGAACACGGGAGCAAATCAAGTATATATCTGTAATATACTTCCACAGCACCCTACACTTTCTCTACTATACGCTTCATCACTACCCTAATGTAATTGTTTACTTTATTGTTTTACAAATAACCCCTTCAAAAAGAAAGACGGGCTATGTAGACGTACACATAATATGTAGCAATGCTGCTTTATGCCAATACTGGAAATTTAATGACATAATGTTCCCATTTATAACAATTATTACTAGAAGTTAATACATCACTGTGAGCCAGGTACTATTCTAAACTCATTTTCATGTATTAACTAATTTAATTTCTACCCAATTTGGGGGAAATTTCTAACTAATGCTAACTAAAACAGTTGGGCAACTAGCAGGTGGCAGAGATGAAACAGGCAGCATTTCTCCTGTGCTCTGGCTTTTAGCAATACTTTCCATTTACACATTTTTTTTTTTTTTAAGATTTTATTTATTTATTTGACAGAGAGAGAGAGCACAAATAGACAGAACAGCAGGGAGAGGGAGAAGCAGGCTCTCGGCCGAGCAGGGAGCCCCACGCCGGGCTCGATCCCGGCATTCTGGGATCATGACCTGAGCCGAAGGCAGACACTTAACAGACTGAGCCACCCAGGCGCCCCCCATTTACACATTTCATAACACACGAATCACAAGACATTGTTTTCTCACGTGACCCAGGCGCATATTGTTGTTACTAATGATAGGATATTAGAGTCTGAAGGCCATTTGTTTCCTTTTATAGCTGTGAGAACTGAAGGACATGGAGATGAAGGAAACTCTATATTTTTTATCACTAAGCAATGTCTGGAATTCACATTTCTTTTCAATATGCTATACTCATGATAACAGTTTAGAGATATCACAATAGCACTCAGAGACGTTTTCAGAGAAGAATATTATGAAATACATTCACAAAACAATTTTGAAGGTAACAGAATTTTTCCTGACTGAAGTATCTCATAGAGATTAACGTAGTGCCTTGTTTCTACTTCATGGATTACTTTGTGTAAATAACTAAAATATGCCTAGCACTTCAGAATTGAACAAGATGCTTTCAGAGCATCAGTTGTGAGGACCAGTTATCCTTTTTTTGGAGAGAAGATGAGCTATAAACAACAGGTCCTCCCAAGATGACTCTAGGGGTCTCCTAATTTCCTATGCCTCTTCAGTATGAGGGTGATGAATAATAACAGAAAGGAAGAAAATAGAGCCAAAAAACCTTAAATGAGGGCGCCTGGGTGGCTCAGTTGGTTAAGCGACTGCCTTTGGCTCAGGTCATGATCCTGGAGTCCCGGGATCGAGTCCCGCATCTGGCTCCCTCCTCGGCGGGGAGTCTGCTTCTCCCTCTGACCCTCCCCCCTCTCATGTGCTCTCTCTCTCATTCTCTCTGTCAAATAAATAAATAAAATCTTAAAAAAAAAAAACCTTAAATGACATATATTCCTCCCAAGTCAATTAGAATATTTACTGAGCATCTGCTGTACAGAAAAATATTTATAGCTCTTTTGGAAATATATATGAAAGCAATTCTAAAAGTACAAATTTATAAAGCTAAGTTTTTACTATAGATAAGTTTAAAAATGTTATAGTATTCTGTTTTCTGATTTCTAGTATGACATATAATTTTTAGTATATTTCAAGAAATGAACACTTCTTAGAAACCATTTTGTCGATTCTACTTTTATTTTTTTATGGTTGATTCTACTTTTATTTTAACATACATAAAATCAGCTTATAATGGCACTGAATACAAAAGACAAAGAAACACTATTGCACTCGGAAAATACTTCATAAGAAGCATTGCACATGATAGAATTGATTAGGAAAGGTACACATTTATAGTCAGATAAGACCATTATTATTCCAAGTTTGACAATACAGAAGTTTTCCTGATAGGAATTTGCCACATCACATATTGCACATTTTCCAATACTTTATCTGTTTCACAAATATTCCTCATATTTGTTTTTGTCCATATCTCTGTAAAATGCTACATGTAAGATTCTTAAGACAGTGAATTATGTAACATTGAAAAAGATGAATTACACAGAAGAAGTAAAAACAACAACAACAATATAAATACATGATCATACCACTCTTTTGGTGGGAAAATGACAACGTAACCTGGCAAACTTCTCTAAAAAGAGAGAAATATTACAAAGCTTAGTTTCATAAGCATTTGTCCACTTATACATGTTCTCTGATTTAAAAAAAAAAAGCATTTAGACTAAATGTCTGTGCTGCCAGTTAAAATTTCTTGTTTACATTCGGTTTTTAATACCACCACCTAACGTTTTCAAATAGTGCAAATACATGAAGCACACTCAGTTTTGGTAGTCATTCAACAATAAATAATAACTCTAAGCCTAGTTATTTTATTATTTTTAATTCTAAAAAATATAAAGTGCATCCATAAGGTTTAAAGTCATTCTTCTCATTCTTGGGTGTAACGATCAGTCAACCTGTGACTTTTTCCGCTCACGGCAAGAGTGTTCCACAATGCAGATATTCCTGGAATTTCGCTACCTTTCTTCCCATAGTCTTGTTTGGAAGAAGGTTTCCAAAATAAGACAAAGTTTTTTCAGAAAGTCTTTGTGGAAAATTTCTGACCGTAGAGCAGCATCGATCAACACAAATTTCCTTGAGTTCCATGGTATAACAGTCTAAAAGCAAATATGTTTCCTCATTATTTAGCGGGTTTGCTACATATCGAATATAAATTCTTTCCACATGCTGTGCTGCTGACCCCTGTACCATTCAGAAATGCACAGTTCTCAGATCCTGGGAGGCTGAACCTGTCAAACGATAAAGAAACAGAATGATTTTGAGTTCATTATTTCCATTCAGTTACATGAAAATGAACTTTGCGAGGGTAGCGGCAGATTTTTTTTTTTTTTTTTTTTTTTTTGCTTGATAGGAGTTCATGAAGCAAGTCATCTGGTCAAGTGACCATAAACCAATTTGTAGAGACAGTAGACAAGAATTGCAAAAAAGGGTCTGTGGAAGGAAGATAAAAAGGTAAGAGCAAAGTGTTCCATTTATCTGGTTGGCATGCCACCAGAGGAGTGAGTGACTCTTGGTTGTTTCTCAGTTAAACTCCTGGAGAAATAATTCCCAGAAAGTATACACATTCAACAATCAGGCATACAATTTAAGAGGGTGGGTGGTCCCTGAAGCCAATCTGTGTGTAAAGTACCATAGGACACATACTAAAAATGCCTTTTCTAAAAATTTAAATTTATTTTCCATATCAGTAATTATCATAAAACTGTTTAGAAGGCTAGAGTGCCTGGGTGGCTCAGTCGTTAAGCGTCTGCCTTCGGCTCAGGTCATGATCCCAGGGTCCTGGGATCGAGCCCTGCATCGGGCTCCCTGCTCCGCGGGAAGCCTGCTTCCCCCTCCTGCTCCCCCTGCTTGTGTTCCCTCTCTCACTGTGTCTCTCTCTGTCAAATCAATCAATCAATCAATCAATCAATCAATCAATCTTCAAAAAAAACCTAGAAGGCTAGAAATTTATTCAGTTCTGAGTTTTCAGATGGCAAAGATTAATACTAACTATATAAAATGTCCTTCAAACTTCAAAATGTACATCAATTACAGGTAATAAAGTCAACATCTTCCATTCTGGGGCAAGTTTTCTGTCAGGTTCATAGAAGCCTCTAATTTGCTATTAGAAATATTGTGCTTTATCCTTGTGGGGATGACAACTGGGAAAGAGTAAAAGGGAATTATTTTCTAAAAAGTCAGCTTATCAGGAAAATATATATATGAGATTGGCAATGTTGGATTTTTCTTTTTGCATCATCGTAATTATTTCTGGAATATGTCTGAGTCTATCACTCACACTAAAATTTGCTGAGATAAAATTACTAGAAGCATTTATTGTATGACTTGCAAGTAGGTAAAAGGAAAAAATGGCAATATTAAAACCCTTCTTTAAAGAATGTGAAAGAGTATAAGCATACATAACAGATTATTGATAAAGCTCTGCTCATAAAGGGCACAACCATCATATACAACAGTGCTTTGAAAGGAAAATGGCTTCCCTGAGCTGCCATTCTGGAGAGGATAAAGAGACATCTTGCAACTTACCAGTTGTTAAATTCTTTGCCATCTGACCATTTCCATGTCTGACCATCTTCAGTTTTCAGCCCAATCCAATGATTAGTTATACCCACATACTGTTTTAAAAAGCTCTTGAAGAAAGCACAAAGGAGGTGTGTGTTAAACAACCCCTCTGGGTAAGTACATAATTAATCCTATTTTTCAGAAGCTGCAATTCAAGGCATGATATCTAAGCTGATCACTTATTAGCTCTATTTAGGACAAGCTCATTTGTATTTTTGGCCTTTGACATTAAGTAATCAAGGCAAATTTACAAGATTAAACTGAACCCTGATTGGGACCTCAGACTGATCAAAGGGCTTTCTGTAACTAAATTTTCCCACAAGGGAGATAGGCACAATGTCTTCACTTAGCAGGAGACAGAAAGAAATCACAGATTATCTATATTAAAAAATGGCAATATTTTAAGAAATTGTTTTTGAATACTATCTTACCATGTCCTTTTCAGAATCAATGAACGCAAGAGTAGCACCCTGTTCATAGCAAAAGTTTTGGGCCGGCATCCAGCCCCTCTTTTCAGTGGAAATAAAATAGCATTTCTTCTGGTATCCAATCCAATCATCAGAGCATGAAGAAACATGGCTATTTGATGGCAATGGGGACATATATTGGCCTGGACAATTGTATTGGCCCACTGTGAACAGGAAAGTGGTTTGTTTTAGTAACAAAAGAAAGTAAATACCCACAGTATGCAAAATCAGTTCAGGAGGTGCTGAGCAGTGCTAGGTGACAACCTTATATAATTTCCTGTTGTGCCTAATCATTATTGTCAGGATATAAGAAATAAGAGGGTGTCTTTCGAGCCATAATCTCAGAAAGGGGCAGGAAAATAGAAAAATCTTGCAAGTAGTCTTCGGACTAGAAAGGGGACAGGGCATTATAAATTACAATGCAGTCAATATAACACTGTATTGGGAGATGAAGGACGGAAAAATTTACAGGGAAGTAATTCAGAATACGGAAAGATCTCTGACTGAGGATGTTTCATAAAGTTGTAAAATTTCATGTTTGTAAAGACACAAATGTATCTTGGTATTGCTATATGTTTTGAATACCATATCACAGTTGACTCTTTGGAAGATTCTAGATATATTTTAAATTATCCATAACCACCATTCTGTGCCCTTGGAGATAAAAGACAAAAGACTGATCAATTCCTGATTAATCTATGGCTTAGATACTATTTTTTCTATCAACAGTGAATGTGAAGCCCACATTTTTTTTTCTAACTAAATGTCTATTTATTTAGAATCTAAATCAGTCCCTTTCATTTCAGATTTTAAAATATGCTCAAATGTAATTTTCTCCCACAATAATTTATAAAACATAGACACTTTTAATACCTGTAAAGAAGCTCTAGAAAACTCAGAAAGCACTGTATTGATCATCTAAGGAATATGGAATTATATTTAGTATTCTTTAAGAAATCAACCATATATAATAATTGGGATAATTCTAAATTAATCAGAATTTCTCATTAATTAGACCAAGTAATCCCTGTTGATTTCAGCTGGACATGAATGCTAACAGCAGAGACTCAATGAATTCATGAAGTACAGACCCACCTGACATAGCGATGAGAGCTATGATTAAAACAGTGATGAGGACCACATTCACAACAGCACATGGGATAGGAACTTGAAGGGACCCTTCATGCTGTGTTGCAAAATGAGGGCTGGCAGCATTACCTGAAGAGAGAAAGTTGATGATGAATTTAGGCAGACTGTAGAAGTAAAAAAGGGACATTCGATATTCTCCTGAGGCATTTACATTTTAATTCTTCCTTATCTTGTTATATGAAATTTATAAGCTAATTTCCCCCAAATTTCGAGTGAATTAGGATAGTGAAACAATTCAGGAATAATAATGAAATCATAAAATATCTCCCCAATCTATGCACTTAGTAGCTACAAAAATTCTAACTATATCATAATTTTACTGTTTGAATCACAAGAACATTTATTAAATCTCTGATTATCCTAGAAGATATATAAAAGAGATATCCTAAGCACAATACCTTTACCTCTCTGTAGTTACTGTTTAAGAGAGATGACATAAATGCAATAATGTGGATAATGAATAAAAAATACTGAACTGATATATATAAATAGCTACAACTAGCATGACTGAAAATTAAAAAAAAAAGACTGATGGTACTTTTTGGTGAAGTTGGTACAGATGTGAAGCAATTGAAATTTTCATATATTACTCATGGGAGAGTAAAATGGAAAAATAATTTGGAAAGCTCTTTTTTTATACAATTAAATATACACCCACCCTATGATCCAGCAATTTAACTTGTACAAAACAAGAATGTTCATAGCAGCTTTATTCTTAAGAGCCAAGTCTTAGAAATAACCCACATATCCATTAATAAGAATATGGATGAACAAATTATGGTATATCTGAATACTATTCAGCAATTAAAAAAACTGATAAATGCAACAAAATGCATGAATCTCAAAAAAAATGTTGAGTAAAGAAAATGCAGTTATAACTATATATTGTATATTTCCATTTATATGACATTCGAGAATTGCTGAACTATAAGTGAAATAAGTCAGACTGAGAAAGACAAATACCATATGATTTCACTCACATGTGGAATTTAAAAAAAACAAATGAAGGAACAAACAATAAAAAGAATCAGACTTATAAATACAGAAAACAAAATGATAGTTGCCAGAGGGGAGGAGGATGAGGGAATAGGTAAGATGGGTGAAGGGGGGTGGAAGATACAGGCTTCCAGTTATGGAATGAATAAGTCATGGGGATGAAATGCACAGCGTAAGAATTATGGTCAATGATACCGTAGTAGCATTGTATGGTGACAGATAGTAGCTACATTTATGGTGAGCATAGCATAACATAAAGGGATGTAGCATTACTATGCTGTACACCAGAAAATAACATAATAATACATGCTAACTATACTTAAAAATAAAAAGAATAGTTGAACTAAACTATGGTGATAGAAATCAGAAAAGTGATTGCTTTTATGTGTGTAGGAAAAGTAATTCGACCAGAAAGAAACACAGGGGAACTTTCTAGGGTGATAGAAAATTTCAAATGTTGATTGGAGTTTTTGTTATAATTCATTAAACTGCATACTTATGATTTGTGCATCCCTTGTATGTAAATTATACCTCAATTAAAAATGATATGTGGATGAAGAGTCAAATATTTGAATTTTTCAAGAGAAGTTAAAATAATAGAAGAAATACAACAATATTAACAAATGTTAGGTGGAAGTTGATTATTTCATTTGCCTTCCATATAGTGCTGAAACAAAGTAAAAATTTGATTTCACCAGTAAGAAATATTTTTGTGGAATATGAATATGATGTGAATGATGATTCTTAGTTTAAAAAAAAAAACTAGAAGAATATCTATCTTAGAATATAAATAAATAATTGAGGAAGAAGAGAAGGGGATTTTGTGTCCAGAGATTGAATTTGATTTTTGCTAGGATGAGCTCTCGAGATTTTAAAAATCTAGCCTCACAAGAAATCTGTATTTCCCTATTATGTTCTCAAAACCTGAAATGTAAAATGGCCACTTGCATGATATTAGAGTTTACCATGCAAAATAGCCTCAAATGCAAACATATCTTGTTTTTCAATGTGTATGACTTTCATAATTAACAGGATGTTAACAGAGAACATATTTTGAAATTTTTGTATTTCTATTCCTTGAAACATTTCTCTAAAGTCAAACTGAACAAAGACATGTGCTTTCTTTCATTGTTTACTGGTTGCCAACATCAGCTTTTGCTGCTGGGGATTGTTTTTCCCAGCGGAGGTCTGCACTCAGATTTTGCAAGAGAAGCCTTTACTGAGCTCCTATCTAGTTCTATTTCTCACAGCTTCTCAAAGCAAGTCTTCTTTTTTTTCACCAGTAGATCACCGGAAGCAGCCTTTGGTAGGTAGGGTGGTGAGTTCAGAGCTCTCTGTCTAGTTTCACTTCTTCCCATGTGAGAGTCAATCTTGCCGCTTAGACTCAATGAAGCAACAGTTCTGGTTCCTTAGCAAACACTAACTCATCCAGATAGCTCATGGACTCAGAGCCTAGCTCAGTCTATTGGCTTATCCAGCGGGCAAACTGTGGAGATAATTCTCAGACTGTACATTTGTTTTCCATTGGTGAGGGCTATTGTTACTCACAGTTTGATTTATCACCTAGGTGACAAAACACTCCCCCAACAGCATACTCTGCTCTGATTATGGGCCTTGTTCATTAATGAAGAAACTGAAAATAAATCCACAATTATATACTGAGACATCCAAAGGTGATGCCCAAGGATTGTTCATACTAATAAAGCAACCACAAGGGCAGCATAAACTAAACATTCAACAGAAAATTGGATGAACTCAGAAAAAGCTGAGGATTCCTGAATTAGGTCCTTCTTCTTTCAACTATGCTCTCTACTTACTGAGTAGTTTTGTTATTATATACATTTCTTCTTTTCAGCAGCTCAACTGGGCCATAAAAGTATGGTTACCTAGCCACCAGAAATCTGTGTGGCATGCACTTGTTATCTACACTTGATTTTGTGTTCTTAGGTGAAAGATGGGTTTATCAGAAGTGACTGATACCTTTTTAACGTAAACCAGTCTAATAGACACACACTCAGAAAGCAATCCCTTCCTCCAGATTGTTCAGCTCTGCTGTTCATAACACACCCCTTTATTACTGGATAACTTTGTTTATAAGTAAATTGTCCCTCCCACATGCTAGTGCTTTGGAGCACCTCATTAGTTAGAGAGGAAGAGGGATATATGGAAAAACTCAAGAAAACCTCACAGAAACACATTATAGGAAAAACAATGGGAGCATCCCAGTAATAGGAAATAGAATAGGTCTGTGGACAGAATACATAAATAGAAGAGAGGAAAAGGTAAATAGCTAAGATGACCATATATTGATGTATTTTGATGAAAAACAAAAGAAAGGAAGAACCATGTATGATTCATGTAGAATTTGAAGCCTTTGATTGAAAGGGGGAATCAGAATGATGAAATGAAGAGTTCCATGAAGAGTAGAAGTAGAAGTTCATATTTTCAAGAATTTTTCATGACATTCTCCTAAGAAATTACCTCCAGGCCTGGTAAATGTTCAGATATGTTCAGATACAGCTATTCTTTCAAAGATTGGAAACCTTCATTCCCAGCAACTGGAGGATGCTGTCATGAGAACACAAGCTGAAGCAAACAGAAAGCATACAAAGACACAGGTGAAGACAATAAAGAATGTAACTCATTATGGGGAAAACAGAATTGCTATAAAGAGAGGCAATGCATCCCGAAGCATGTACAGATGGAGACGGAAAAAACGGTGGTGAATGCACTGGGCCAGTGCAGGGAGTTTTCTAGTTAAATCTGAAGAATTGATATCATATAAACTAAAACAAAAGACAGATCTCTAACGATCTTCAGAAATCCACCTTTGTGGTTTCCTCTCAAGTCTCAGGTATCCTGTCTTCTCATGGATAGAGAAATATTTACTTGTTCTCATTTTCTCCTTTACCTGGACTGAAGTAAAATGTAATCAAGTGTTTCTAAGACAAAGGCTCATTTTTTAAAATACTGCTAATATCAGAGGATAGAGAGATAGAAGATAGATGATAGATAGAAAGATGATAGATAGATGTGTGTGTGAGAGAGAGAGAGAAAGAGAGAGATGATAGGTAGATGTGTGTGAGAGAAAGATAGAGTTTTGTTACCAGTATATAACAAAGGTCTGACTTACCTTGTTGTCCACCCTCTGGATGCAAGGAGCTGTTCTCTGTTATGGAATAATGTTCAGAATTCATCTTTGTTCTAGTGAAGATTCCCTGGCTAATCCCAGGTCAAGCCAATCTATAGCAAAATTCTTTGTCAAAGCTCTTGTTCAGTCTCTGAGTCTGTGAGGTATCTCAGCGTTTATATTCAGTTGTATTGTCCCCACCCCCTTCCTCCTGCCTCCTAACCACTCAACTTCATCAGTTCTCTTTAATTTATGCTCCAGCAGCCCAGACAATTTACAATGTGTTATTGTGGTGAGCTGTGGGTTTTCCCTGTTGTCTGAAATGTGCTTTCTCACAACTGTAGGTGTAGCATGAAGAGACAAGCGGGATTTTCCTAGAATCTGAGACATCTTTCTTTAAATCTGTGAAAAACACAAATAACTTAGGAGACAGCATATTTAAGTAAAGAATGAAAAGTTCAGGATTCCTAACTTTGAGGTGGAAATAATTTAGAGAGTAATATTTCCCTTAGAACCTCATTCATTTAATTAACAACTAATATTTATTGAGCATGCACTTTGAACCTGACACTGTTTGGGGCTAGAGAGTTTATTGTTAAATAAGAATTTTAAGACCTCTGTCCTTATGGATCTCTCTCCACTCTGGAAGAATTTTACTTAGGAAGCTATATACTGGCTGTCGGAAGGGTATCATTCACTTCTTTCCTGGGGACTAGTTCTTTTAAGGTATCATTTAGTATGTACTTGTTTTAAGGAAATAGAAACCTTGTGGTCTGGAACTTCCTTTCTATGTTCTAAAATTGTTTATCTTAAATTATCTTTCATTTATCTCTTGTTAATTTTTTGGTCATATTTTACTTTCGTATAGATTGCCCTAATTTCTCCTAATATCTTATTCTTCTCTAAATTTCCCCTATTTTAGATTATTTTCCTGTATCCCTGAGGTGTCAGACATTTGGAGTATGATTATTATAAAAAACATATTACCATGGTATCAATACCATCCCAGTGAGCTAGGAAGGCAGAATGTCTGTGTATGGGGATTTAAGGAGGGGATCAAAATACCACTCTGGTTACCAATCTTTTTGCCATAATTTTTATCATTAGTATCACCTCTTTAAAGACTATGTGTTTTCAGAATAAAACATTTGTGGAAATATTATGCCTAGGTAGGTTCAGAATTATCATCTACCATAGCTTTGTTGGGCCAACGTATTTATTTGTTAACCTAAGACATGAAGAGGTGCATGTTGGTCTTAAGGGCTGTCTGCTTCCACTCCACTTTTTCAGTCAATTTCCTACTATGTTTTCCACATAACAGCAAGAAGGGTTGTTTTACAATTAAGTCATATCACTTTGGTGAGATGTTCATGCCCCCCCTCTACCCTCAAAGGCTTCTTTTCAAAATTACCATAAAATCCAAAGACCTTCTTATAGTTGAGAAGGTCCATGATCTGACCCCTGGCTACCTCTCCGGCCATTTTCCCAATTAGTCACTGTCTTCTCCAGCTGTAACCTCTGTTATACCACAAAAATGTCAAGCATACCCCCACTACAGAATCTTTGTATTTTCTCTAAAAGGTTCTTCTTCCACCTCCTTGCAAGTCTTGGTCTCCCTTCAACTCATTTTATTCACTATTCAACTGTGATCCACCCAGGAAGGTCTTCACTTACCTTCTTTATGTAAAAAGATTCTCATGCTCTATGCCACCATATACCTTTATCTTTCTTTATATCACTTGGTGATATCTGATATCATACCATTGTTTATTGTCTACTTTCCTTACTAGACTGTAAGCTGCTTGGGGGCAAGAACTTTTTCTGGTTTGCCCCTTCTGTGCCTCTAACACCTGACATAGTAACTGGAAACTGGTCTGTAGGCAGTACATACAGTACATACTTGTTGAATGCATGAATAAATAAATATGAACTAATGAAAGAATATGTATAAAAAACATAAAAAGTTTTAAACTACAGCGTGTTATTCGAGGAGGTGTGTGGGCTTGTAGATTACCACTGGATAGCAAGTGCACGCTTGAATATTGTGGATGAGTGACGGAAGGGTCAAGTTGGGTACTTAAGGGAAACAGCTGATGCTTTTGCTAATTTCTTTGGGTGAAAGCAACTTAGATCAGATCGTCTGTTTATTTTTCTAAACTTGGGAGATCTGAGTTAATGTCCACATTCTGATACTAATTACATACCCTATAATGTGAAGAATGCATGGGATTGAGAGAGTATAGGAAAAGCAAGAGGGACTTAATTCCTGTAAGGCCACAGGTCTGAGGCAAAAGTCTGAGGTTAAAAGTTTCCATACTCTTAGAGACAAATACCTCCTGGGAAAGCAAACAAATGAGAGATAACAGCTGTTAGGGATTAATGGTCGTCTGAGCAAAATTAGAAGTCACAATTTAAAGTCTGCTGTACAAGTATTTATACGTTCCAGGAGCCCTAGAAGAATGTCGACCATGGAGAAGGGCATCCTGTAATTGTCTCATGTCCACTGAAAAGTAACGACCAAAGATAATGACCGTGGGACTGAAGGATGCTTCCTCACTCCCAGCCCCTTGCCCTTTGGAAGAGTGACTTTATAAGCCTTGCACACTACCCCTTTGGGGAGCAACATTCCTCTTTCTTGTTGATTCCCTTGTATACAATCTATCTCTCATAAACTCTGCCTGGCTTTCTTTCTCTTGCGTTCAGTGTTCATTTCTATGACATTAAGGCTCAAGAACGGTCCTGGGGGTCCAGTAACAGGATAATATAGCAGTTTTAAATCTGCAACAGTATTTGAACTCTTCTAAGTCTGTGGGGTATAAAGAGAGAGAAAGAAAATATCTTTACGCACACTGATAATCCTTGCCGTGTGTGTTCTCCATATGCCAAGCAGTTTTCAATAGCTCATTGAACTATCCTAGAAATCGTGGTCCGGTTTAACCACTTACTAATGTGACTTTTCCCCTCTGATGACTCCCATATTCGTGTGAAAAACATAACTTTCTTAGTTGGACACCAACTATTTTTGAAATTATATATTCCAGAACAGTTAGGCTAATTAACATTATTTAAAAAGTATAGATTTTACAGACAAATAATCATTTCCCACAATTTTCCTTCTTATTCCCTGTAAGTCTGCTATGCTGATTTTCTTTTTGTTCCTTGAAAAATTAAACTTATTTTAATTTTATGGAGGGTGTTCTTGCTCTTGTTCTCTCTGCTTTCAGATTTTCCATGGCTGACACTTTCTTCTTATTTATGTTACCTCACATGTCACCCTCTCAGTAAGACCTTCCCTAATCCCCTGTATAAATTACCTCCCATTGGCCACAATTTATTACCTCACTCTCTTATTAAATATATCCTCATCTGAAATTTTGTAGCTCATTAGATATCTGCATATCTATATAGTTTTAAAAATTATCATTATTGGGGCATCTGGGTGGCTCAGTTGGTTAAGGTTAAGCATCTGACTCTTGATTTTGGCTCAGGTCATGGTCTCAGGGTTGTGAGATCGAACCCCACATCTGGCTCTGTGCTCAGTGGGGAGCCTGTTTAAGATTCTCTCCTTCTCCCTCTGTCCCTCCCTGCTCACGCACTCTTTCTCTCTCTCAAAAAAATTATCATTATTATTATTATTTGCCTTACTAGAAAGTAACATCTTTAAGAGCAGGGGCATGGCCAACTTATTCAACAACAAATCTCTAGCATATAATAAATGCCAAGAACATAGAAGGAGTTCAATAAATATTTATTGGGTAGATACATGACAGAATGTATTTGAATGTCAGCTCAAGTGTTTGTTAACTGTGCGGATCCACTGAGCTTTGGCTTTGTTATCTGTAAATTAAAAATATTAGCATCCAACTTATAAAGTTTTGTGAAGAAAAAATTATACACTAGAAAATTAGTGTTCTACTATGGTGTTTGGTATATATGAGGCATTTAATGATGTGTAAAGGAATCAGTTTGACATAAGTCATAAAAAGGGAAAGATTTGCATTTGATGTAGGATATAAAACTGAGAAGCCACAGCATTCTTGCTGCTATGATGTAATGTGGCTCTTGTCTGTCTACGATACAGACAGGGGAGGCCGCTATTTCTTAGGTCCACCTCTGAGAGTGCCCATGACACTAAGACACTGGCCTGTGTGCTCAAGTCTTCTTGGGAATGGATATTATATGTATATATTTATATATATTTTGTATTTATAAACACATGCATATATATGTGACATCTATTACATACTTTGAATATGTAATATATATTATATATGCAGACCATTGGGCACAGAAAAATGATAATGAGATCTTATTTTAAGAAAATAAATATCTGGAGGTGTCTGTGTGGTGCAGTCAGTTAAGCGTCAACTCTTGGTTTTGGCTCAGGTCATGATCTCAGGGTTTTGAGATCAAGCCCCATGTGGGGCTTCGTGCTCAGTCTGGAGTCCACTTGAGATTCTCTCTCTCCCTCTGCCCCTCCCACTCATGCTCTCTCTCTCTCTCAAATAAATAAATCTTTAAAAAAGTAAATAAATCTGTAAACATTATAACATTGATCAAAATCTGTTACCCTTTTCTGAAATCATTTTTCTCTGTTTTTATGGGAGGAGCCAAAGTATTCTGTTGAAATCAATACTTGTATAGATGGGAATAGGCAGCCTCCACAAACATAAAAACCAGCCCAATTCCTGAGAACATGTGTCATCAGCAGGCCTTCTAGGTATCCACTGCACCTCCTGCTATTCAGGTCCTTTACAATAACCTGAACTTCACTGCTGCAAAATTAATATTTTTCCATGAATCCTCCTCTGCTTCCTTATTCTTTTTAAGTGTAAGAAATCCCCATTGATTTGAGAAAGCAATCAATTGAGATTCATGTAAAGCAGTGGAAGAACAATGAATAGGTTTGCCCAGCACAGTTCTGGTTGACACTTGTCCTGATATCATTTCACTTGCCAGAGTGTCTTACTATATACAATAAATTATATGCTCATATTACTAATCAGTACTGTTAAATCAAAGAAAGGTGTCTCTACATGTGGAATTAGAGTAAATAGGACAAAGCAAAGTGTAGAGTGTCAGGATGCGGTGTGGGAGAGATTTTGGGGTCAGGTTTTTCAGTTGCCCCTTATTCATCTAAATATGGA